CATCATTGAAGTAAGTTGTTAAATTTAAGTTATAAATTACATAGATAAGATTACTAATTTAATGTGAAAAATTTTCCAGAATATTCGATATCGAATGTGATAAATCATTGATGTTATACTCATCTAATTCAAATTCAGAAATTAATCGAGAGAATTATTTTGATGTTTATGGAGGAGAGATCGTCGATGATGGAATATTTATTCTACCATGGTGGTGAAACGCGTGATTATCGAATATTAAGATTAATGATACTATCGGATATAATCAGCAATACCTAAATGCCCGTCCAGTAAACGTCATAACTAATTAATACCCAACCATAAATATTTGATTAATGCGGTTGACAATTACGAAGAAAGGAGAGAAAGAAGTGTTATGTAAATTTGCTTTAATTAGCAGAACGCTCCAAGGAGATTAAAGAACACTATACAAGAGGGTGAAGGGTAAAATAGAAAATTGAACGAAGAGAAGGATTTAACGTCGTTCCGTGTATTTTCCATTTATACGTTTGCTCGATGAAGTTGAATTTAAACGACAGACATATGATGAAAATGCGATTTGAGATTGTTCAACCATGCGTGTTTGAAATGGAATAAACAAAAACTAGAATTTGTTTAAAGAATCCTTTTGCATAAAGGTGTCTATCAGTCAACTTCGTGAAATAACAATTTAATCATATTTATCGCAAACTTTTACATTTTATATTTTTCGCTCCATATTCTTATTTTATTGCTTATGTTTCATGTAATGTTGTTTCAGATTATTTATTCGATTCGATTGAGAATATCTATTTGTCATATCAAATTATCTTTATAAAATATTTATTTTAGAGGTAACATTTGTTATATTAAAAAAAAAAGTTGAATTGACAACCAGCATCCGTAAATTTTTATTCGCAAGATAATTGGAGTTCTAATCATGTGTTATTTTTATTTAAAAATTTTTTTATTTACACGTGTGAGAATATGGATTCATAAATAAATTATGATATTTAAAATTGAAATATATAAAACATTTCCTTCTTCATTAATTCTAACGAATTTTCGAACATATTTTCTTAAAAAATTATATACATCTTTAATCAATAATTAGAATTTCAAATAAAGATCTCGATTAATCTTGAATCGCTTGTCAAGAATGATAAGGAGAAGTGTATTAACAATGATGTGCAAAATAAAATAAGATCTTTATCCATATATATATGAAAGATCAATACGATAAATAAACCACAAATGATACAATTAGGAATTAATTATTATTTTCCAATCTGTGTAATTTATTTTTCATTTACGAACTGATGTAACAGAATTTCTTCTCAATTTTTTCTCAAAGTCATAACGATAATAGGCGATCGTTTCTTTTCCGGGAAGAACAATTTATCTTTCTTAAATAAATAAATTGTTTCAGAAGATCAAGCAGAAAATTCAAACGGAATAACAGGTTTATTTCTCTCGGGGATAAAGGAATTAAAAGAAAATTCATTTTATTAAAAAACTCGAAGATGAACAGAGAAAATAAGAATTGAAAAGTACGTTTACCGTCCACATGGCGATTGGCTGATTGTCTACGTACAGGTATTTCCAGCGTGTAATTAAATCTCTTATAACTTTTATCGACATTTTTGTATAGTAAGCATTATATTTATATGTAAATTAATCTAATTTGTAAATTACGCTAGTCCACGTACAATGGTGTTCACTTTAATCTCTACAATTGGGACACATATCAGACATTTATCAGGACGTGCAATTTTTGAGAATTCGACTGTAAGATAAGAAAGGAATGGTTGAGAGATCTAATTTTTAAAAATTGATGAGGATGACAGCAAATAAGATCCAGAGTATACATAAAATGAAAAAACCAAGTTACTATCACTATATAATAATATTTCGTATAAAGATATTCTACAAGTAAAATTAGTTGTATGAAAAGATTCATATCAAAGAATTATTATATTTTGTATATTTATGCATTTTAATTTAAATTTTTCACAAAAAGTTACATGAAAAATTCTTGTTTGGTAATCACATAATCAAGTTTTTGAAAAGAAAAGTTCATTTTCATTCTTGGCCATAAATTAGATTGACAATAGAAGCAATCAATTCCACGAATTTCTCACTCTTTGAAATTCGACGTTTGATCTTTGGATAATGTATACACGATACACGAAGCGACGCAATATGTCGTGAATTTGTTAGCATGAAATTTCTATATGTCATTTGGCTTGGAAGCGATGCATCATTGCAATTGTCGCAATCACGCGATATGCCCGATAATCGATATGCCCGAATAACTCGTGGTATTATTAACGTTATCATAAATTTTTCTAATATATTTATTCCCTTATATATTAAGATATGATTAAAATATTGATTGAAAATGGAAAAACTACGATTTACTTCATCTTTCCTTTAAATTTATTTATATATAGATTTCCAGATTTGGAGTATAAAATTATTAATTATTGAAATTAAAATTTGAAAATAAAGAAGATATTTCATTTTATACGAAAATGACAGATAATATTATTTATCAATCTTTATCGAGAATTGTTTGTATCATGGGGATCGCCCACGAAAATTTCTTTTGTACGTCAGATAAATTTCCATATCAATGGTGATAATTTACTATTCATTCATATCGACTCGAATCGATGACAAATATTTTGCACATCGGGTCGAACCGTCGACGAATTTTGCACGTTTATTTTATATTGGAACTTCATAAAAAACTCACCGATATAAAGTTGCAGGTTTGATATTTACAACGAATCTTTAGAAATTGAATATTGTTGGCCGATAAACAGTTATTGACCCTTAATATCCTGATCCCATAGTATTATCGTGCGAATGAAATTGTGCAAGTCATTTCAAACTTTTATCATTTAAATTTCAATTATACTAATTATTTTCTTGTTTCAGGGTTGTCAAGCTGTGAAATTATATTCGTGAAATTATATTTCGATTGATATTATTTTCAATAATATTGCGAACGTCGAAAATTTTATCGAAAATTTGACCACTTTATTGCTTCAACGATACGACAATTCATCTACAGTATCCGGATGCAATCTATACGCACATTGTATACACATATTGCATAGGTTTATATGTTTATACTTCATTTTATGAACTGACATGGATACTCAAAAATCTTGTATATCAATATATATTTGCAGATAATGTTCATAAATGTGGACAAGGCTTAAAGCAAAACTTATAGCACCATAGATGTAAGAATATTGAAAAAGAGGAAATATTTATTCACGAAAGCAGATAGCCAATTTAACGAAACATCTAAAACAATTTATAATTTATAACAATTCATCTCCAATCCTCAAATATAATTCAATTCGAGTATAATTTAATTGCACAAAAGTAAAAATTCATTAATATAATTGGAAATGTAACTGGGAACAACATCAGGATTGCGTGTGATCGAGTCTCATGTTCAGGAACTTTGGCGAAATAAATTTTCAGCGGCGTTTGAATTAGAATTTCAGATGAACAATCACGCAGGAATATGCAATGGAACAGGGAAGAAAAGTTTTACTACACCAAGACCAACAAATGTGACGTCCTTTCCGCGAAACGGATGTACATACCTTGCAGACAAGTGAAATGTCATACATAGTGAATCGCGTGCAAGAGGCATTATGTAAATATCGGCTCGAGAAGAACGATGCACTCGATTCACTTTGCTTTCTCAATCTTTTTATCTATTCCCTTTAGATCAAGCATTTCTTCACGGAACGCTGTAATCTCATCAAACATTTGCGTAAACGTATTTCGTCCCGAGATTTTTCGATGATTCTCGAAATTCTTAGAATTACAGAATCAATGAACCGGTGATTTAGGATATCGATAATTAAATAATAATTTAATTGAAAGAATACATATTTCAGGAGCCATTAAATGATAGGACCGAAATAAATATCGAGCATTATTTTCTACTGCCAATTTTTATTCCCACGTATATTTTTATTTTCATTTTTTTTTTTTGAGAAAATAATAAATTATTTATGTATTCGATTTATGAATAAATTTGTGAAATTATTCATTCGAAACAAAATATGGAATTCTATTTGAATCGCGAAGTTAGTTTATAAATTCGAAAACCGTGATACATTTCAAAGTTAATTATCATCACCTAACCTCACTTTTCAACAAGAAGATATATTTTTCTCCACGAATTAATATTTATTTATTCGTGTCACAGTTCGAGAGAGAGAAAGAGATTTGAAAGTTTATTGCATGGAAATAGAAGCAGTAGGTTTTCCTTGAATTTACTTGCAACAAAGTTGCTAAACTATCTCAATTCGCACAATAGGAATCTCCAAGCATCCACTCTCTCTCTTATTCCATGCTATAACGAGTCTACATTCCGGTAGAATAGTTATCGATTTTTTGAATCGAATTTTTTCTTGCTGATTGTAGAAAGCGCGTCTCTGGAAGTAAAAAACGCGGTGGCTGGTCGAAGTCTCAAAGCCAACACTTGAGAAGTTCAGATTCGGAGAGAAGCGATAGGACAACGAAGTTTAAATAGTTCGACGAATTCAAAATTCAAAATCCCCCTTTGTCCGAACGTTCGAACTTTTTAAGTTGAAAATGGAAAAGCTTTAAACTTCTTCAACTTAAACATCTGAGAAATCGCACGAGGCTCGATGTAAGAACTTGGTGAAACTTTAATCTAGTAAAAAAAAAAAAAAGGAATGTGCTGTGAGAAATATAGAAAATTATACAGGAAATTCAAGTATTATAGAATTATCAGCATATTCCTAACAATTTGAAAAAAAAAATTAAATTGGAATAGTGTTGGTGCAGAAAAATTTAACGTACAATCTTTTAAAGAGATTTATAATTTTAACTTTGAATTAAAACAACAAAATATCTTCCTATTAACCTATAATTAAGAAAATTACGAATTTCTGGGTATAGATGTACACATAAAGAACGACATTGTAACCTATCATTCTGTCAACGACGAATCATCCTGTCACGTTTTTACCCGATGAGAAATGCATCGAGATTTCGAGAAAATCCCAGGAATAGAACATTGGGTGGTTCTTTTATTCGCATAAAATTTCTGGCAAAAACTGTATATTGTCACAGTGAGATGCTTTTAACAAATCGTCCGTGAAATGTTGCATTTTTGGATTCGCGGCATTAATCTTCAACTACAAACTTGCGTGCACGAGGAAAAATTAGGAAAATTCCGACTTCCTTGCATGAAATAAATGCACGATCGTTTTAAATTCGTTGGAAACGGGTCAAGATCGAGCTAGTATGCATGGTTAGTAATTTAAATCCACAAAGTGAATATTTAAACGTTGTTTAGCTTCCCCCTCCTTTTTTTTCCATTTTCTGTAAATTTTATTTGGTTTTTAACCTCATAATGATTAATCCATAAATGATGTATAAATAAACGTAAATTAGCTCGACGTAGATTTGTTTAAAATGGGTCAAAATCGTATTTGTATAGAAAGTTTTTTTTCCCCTTATTTTTTTTTATTCGATTTCTCCTGCTTCTATTAATCGTTAATTAAAATTAAAATGATACAATTTTCTGGAATTTCATGAGATGAAAATACTTACAATAGTAATTTCACGTGTGAGATTATTGAAAAGAAAGTTAAAAATATATAATATATATAGAAGATTAGCTATAGGATAGATTTAAATTAATAAAAAAAGAATATAGAATTAAAAGAAAATAATTATAAAAAGAAATAATTCTAAATTGTAGTTCAATCTTGTAACTAGAAGTCATTCTCGCTTTTATCACTCACAAGTCTTTTAAGAATGTTCATTCTCCTGTTCTTCACGACAAAAGCAATGTCGGCATTCCTAGACTCGCGTATTTTCTAATCTATCAATCCTGTGACATCTGATCCACGAGTACCAGTTATTCTTTGACATGTAGGTTACATGTTGATTATCTTCACAAATTCTCTCTGATTACATGAATTTCTGTTGTATATCGTATAAAATTAAAACTATAAAATCAATCGTTTTTGGCAATTTCTTACAAAATATATTTTATTATATATAATATTTATTTTTTTTTATAAATGATTAAACTAGTAATATATTTATAATTTATTAGTCAAGTAAAGTAAAATAAATAGTATCGATCAATCACTTTTCAGACTAATGGAACATGACAGCTATAATGCAAATAGCATGTACATTAAATGTATATATAATGATAAAGAAAATAACAATTATACAATTATCGATATGTTGTAAATTTCAATAACTTAAATAATTAATTTTATAATTAAACAATTAATATTCGGTTCAATATCATTCTTATATGTATCATCTCGTAAAAATTTTTTATTTATTAACCATTATTTATTACAAAATACAAAATAACTTTAACATTTTATATTTATTTTATGTTTAACTTTATACTAACAAAAATTTTTTTTTCTTTCAGAATCGAGCAACTAAACAACTGAACAACTGTTTACCTCGATTTGCAAATAATTGAGAAATAGAATTTATAATAGGAAAAATTCCTTTTCGAGGAAAATTTTCACTGCAACATCGAATCGTTTAAATCATCGTTGACATCGGACATTTGGAAAAAGTTAAGCAAAAACGGTGTGTAACACGATTTGAACAATGAAACGCCAAGCAAGGACGCGAGATTTCCATACATTTTAAATAATTCCCACATCTCGGCTTTTGCAGCAAGGTGATTTTACATTCAAATCTTCAAGCCACACGCAAACCGCGAAAAAATATTTTACCGAGATTCCAGGCTGAAGCTGGAGATTCGTCCAATTTCTAGCTCGTGTCTCGCGTTGTTTTCCTGGGCGACATTAAAAAAATATTTCGTCGTGCGACGACGAAAGACGGGGACAATTTGTTTGGATCTACTCCCACAGCATTCTGAATCAAGATATTCCACGAACCTCGTTCCAGTTTTTCTTCTTCTTTTCCTTGAAATCGGCCATCCTTTCTTCGTTTCACCTTTTGTTTCATATCTCAGAAATCTAGTGCATTTTTAGAGTAACATAAGAACGCAAATAATTGCCATTTATGAATCCTAATCAATTAAAATTCTCTGAAGTTGAAATGAAAAATATTAACTCCTTAAATATTTAATAAAATGAAAGAAGAATCGTGCAAGAGGATGTGTTCTTAATCAATTTTGTGATTCATTGAAAGAAAGAAACAATATATATGAAGGTAAGAAGAAAATAATAATTTTAAGTAACAAATTAAACAAAAAGAATAAATAGAAATAAATAGAAACAGAAGCAGAATCTTTTGTAATTCATTGAAAAAAAAAATGATGATCTTAAATAAAAGTATTGAAATAAATTGAATAAAAGCAAAGAGAAATTTCTGATTTGAAAAAATAATGCAATGCTTTTTAATCTGACGATCGAGAAAAAAGTTCTCCTCTCGTTCGATGTAAAATTGTAAAATTTTAAAAAGCATACGACAAAAGTGCATAAGACACTTCGATTTTTTTCAATCGACTTTACGCAGCTCGCCCCGTGAATTGCAAAAAATTGTTATAACGTAAAACAAAGCGAAAAGTAGCCAAGTCGTGGGGATCGCTTTTTGAAAGCCAGATTTTTCTGCCACGATTTTTTCCCCGACGACGAGGAAAGTTTTGATTGGAACGACACCCGTTTTCATACGAAGCTTCATTAGACCTCTCGCCTCCGAGTTATTAATTTCCGGAACGTTGACGACATTCACAGGAACGAATTCATCATTACGGCCAACTCGGCCAACTTTCAAGGAATTTGAAAGTGGCGGAAAATTTAATTAGATATTGATCTCGAAACATTAGTCAACTGTATATTCGACGTCTTCCTTTAAACATCGTATTTAAGGAATTTTATTCAAAAAATAAGTGTCTTGGACAACAAACTTGGAAGAAAAATTCAAATATAAGAAGAACATTAAATGTAAAAGAAAAAAAAAGAATCTCCTACAATTCAATATTCTCAATATTTCCAAATAAACACGCACCTACGGAGAATTAAATTTCAATCATCCAAAAAACAAAGCTAAATAAATACCAAGCATAGGCAAAATCTATCAAGAAAATTGTTACGATAATTAACAAATATTCTTTTCAATCAGAAAATCTTTGGCAACGAGATAATTAATACCCTGATTTGATCATACTGGTTGATTAATGACGGTCTCGAGTAAATTCATCAACGTGAACCAGATGGTGGTCCATGAGCATCAACAGTATGGGATAGGCACCCAAGGGTGTCGCGTGACTCGAATAAAAATTCCATCGCTCTATTTTTGTCTTCCGTCCACGTATTTCGGGAACGTGGAAACTCGCGAGAGATCGGTTGAAAGTTAATGATCGACGTAACAACCTCGATGCGTTAATAAAAATGGTTGCATTTATATATTTAATCAGATGGGAACATTGAAACGTGGCCGGAAGCTTCTTTCTTTTTTATTGAGAAACGTTCCAACGCGAGTGAGACTGGCGAGAGGGTGGGAAAATATGGAGAAATATTTAAGTATGCGATGTATCTGGTGGAAAAATATTGGGGCAAGAAGGAGGTAAGTGTTTTAATCTCCAATAATTTTCGAGAAAATTTTATTCCCCTTTTTAATTCACTCTCGTGACACGAGATACACGTTTCACTTTATTTTTGTTGATGTAACGTACGAATATTAATGAAATATTATCCTTTTAATTAATTGGATGGAGCGTAAAATTCGTAGAATAAGCGAAATTTATTTTTATCTTTCGATTATTTGTTATTTTCCAATACAAATTAAAATCCTGATTTATCACGTGAAATTCGTTTCAAAGATTTATAGAGATCATTCCTTCAGGTGTTTCACCAGGTTTTTCTTCCACTAGCATTTAAGAAAATGTATTATCATTTAAAGCTCTTGAGCCAGTTACGGTTAGGAAAACAGAAACTCTAAAATTAGCGCAATTTCGTTTAGAAGTCTGTTCAAATAAATCATTCTGCCTTGCTACATCTTTCTTCCTCTGTATCCGACGACTTAACGCATTCCTCTCCAATCTCGCATAACAATATAAAACAATTTTAATTGCATTAGAAGAAATTTACGAAAACGAAAATTCTTTTAAAAAATAAAAAGTAAAAACAAAAAGAAGAAAATTTTTTACGTGAAATGGAAATATAACAATTTGAGAATTGTTTCCAGCTAATAATCGCATCGTTAAATTTTCAAAATTGTGACACGATTTTGAACTTGTTCAAAGTGACATCAATACGAGTAACAATTTGAAGAAGTTTCTAAACAATTCTTTACGAACATTTGCATCGTAAAGTGGTAAAGCTTGTGAAAAGTTCATTATTGATGCTTTAATTTAGCAACGATTCAAAATATACGATCTATTCTTTCATTTCGAACGTGGCGTTAAAAAAAATTTGTATATTCAGTATTTTCCATCGTGTACAATATCATTTATCGAAGATTATATTTTCAACAATATTACTTGGAAAATTTTTCTTCTTCTTCTTCTTAAACGAGTCCATATATTCTTCATGAAACCATAAAATTTTGTAATTTTATTTAAGCAGAAAATTTATAGAATTTAACTCGATTTTTACTGTCTATTCATCATTCGAGTAATTATCGAAGAAAATTTTATGTCCATTAGTGGAAAGAGAACTTTATTAAATTCGTATTTACTCGCATGTCTGATCAATGATAGATCATTTTTACTTGGATGCTAAAACTTTGATTCATTTCCTATGTTCTAATAATTTAAAGTTCAATATACTTTTGTATCAATTTTGATATATATTGACGATGTACATCGAAATTTCTATGAAGAAACTCTAAAATTTTAATATAAAATTGAAAGCATATTTAAATCTACACCGCTGAAATTTCATCAAACATTTATTTTACTGGTTTCGACCAACGGATCGTTTATCAAGAAGGGAACTTTGTTATCTGTGCGTCATATGCTTTCAAGGATGAAAATATAAATATTTAAAGATTGGCCTTATCGTTAGGAACAATGCCACATTCCCAAAGGGATTTTTATCCTCGTAATAAAATTAGGTCTCTTCCTTTACGCGATATTTACCCTCCGGAAATTAACCCACATTTTAGATCTACGCGCGAAATTAAATTTATATAGAAATATTCCCTTCCTCTCTCTCGCAATCTCATTTAAAGAGAGAATCGAATTATCCGAATTAACTATACATACAATATCTATAAAATTAATAAATTTAATAAACCAATCGATAAAAAATTTATCCGCAAAATAATTGCCCGTTCAAGTGCCCGAAATTTTCATTGAAAATGATTAATTCTTAGAAGATGAAAATATTTCTGTGAAATAAGTTTTAATTCTCAATCATTCTTAACTTCTCACAATAATTTTTTAAATGTTTCGATGGAAAATATTTTTCGAAGTGTATTTTAACGAAACATTCATTATTAGAAGTAAAATTCGCGATAGATACTGGAACATCTAGTCAAGTCTCGTTCTCATTGAACGATTCGCCAAAGAAAAGAATAAATAAATAAAATAAAAGTAATCCAATAAATAATCAATTAAAAGATATTCAATCATTTTTACATAGAAAACGTAGGAAAAAGAAACTCATCCTGTTTATCGTTTCAACCTCGTTTACATCCCCAACTTGATCCCTTTTCAAAGCTGTCAATTCGTGCACAAACGCGAAAATTTCACAATTTTGCATATCTGCCGTAAAATACTCGAAAAACTCGACTCTATTATAAGTTACTTGCAGGGGTGGAGCGTTAAATTAGAAATTAAAATGAAATTAAAGTCCACTACGAATACTCCTATACTCATCCCCGCTAATTGCATCCATCAGTTTTTATTAATCCTTTAAAAAATAACGAGAATTAAAGTTATCGTTTCATCCATTTATCCCTACATCGCATTTTTCCATTCCCTTTCATTGATTCGTTTACGAGAAAGTTTGAAAAAACATCGAAAAAAAGAAAACGAAAGTCTCGACATTCGTAATTTTCCCACTGTTTTATACTCGCGCGTGAATTAAAAAACATTCATGCAAAATGGTGAAACGCTTTTACGCGACAAAATAGATTCTGCTATGTGTGTTTTTTTTTCTTGTTTCCTTTTTGAGAGAAAGAGAGAATTGTGCAGTTTAATGTTACGAGCACGCTTTTGGAAAACTTGTTGAGTGTTGCTCATCGTTGGAGAGAACGAGAATTTTATTAATGTAAATTTCCTCTTTAACTCTTTTTATGTTTAAAAACAGGGGAAATTTTAGTCCCCCTATTTATGCTTAGTCGGTATCATACAGTTTATTTTAGATTGCTAAAAATTTGTATCCGATCACAAGTTTGAAATTTAAGGTAAACATTTATTCCTTTTATGATAATTTTACTGTAAATAAGATTTTTTCTAAATTTTTTTCAGATTTCATGAAAGTTTTTGGAAAGTTATTACTTAAAGTTTTTTTATAATTTATATAATGGAATATTGTAGTGCCAAGATAAATAATTTCAAGGCAAATATCACAACACAGTTCGAGGTATGCTCCAATCTGTAATTTTAATAAAATGTGTACAAACTAAAACTTACATATATGTTTTCAATTAGGTAGTAGCAGACACATATTTGCCAGCACAAAATATTTGTTAACATATCATTTTTAAAGAAAAATTATAAGAAACGAAGCAATTACATTAATAAATACAATAATAATAATACAATGATAGTTACAATGATAACAAGTCTAATAATAAACGAAGAGTGATATATTTTTATATTCTTTTAGTAATTAGTAAATTCCAAATTTCACCAACAAAAGGGGAAACGAGTAAAAGACAAAAAAATTCCAAATTGAAATCTGTTCATTCGAACATCTCTACGAAGGAAAAGGAATGTTAAAGCTAACGAGTTGAATGAAATATTAAAAACCAAAGACGAAATACTTAAAATTACTCAAAATTTCCTTGTGTTAAACACAACAATTTGATTGAATCATAGTCATTCGTTGGATGAAATAAATCAAACGTTATTGTCGATAATTTTTTTTCGACTGATGGTTCATTATATCATATTTAAAAAATAGATAATTTGAAGGTTATGATAAATGATAAGATCGTTTGATAGTAAAGAATTAATTTGTTTAAAAATTATTTGAAGATCGTGATGGATAAAGATAATGATCAAGAAGGTTCAAGGCCATTTAAATATCCTGCTGGAAGGATG